ATAACACTGAGCGGGGGAGCAACGTGGATGCTTCTGAGTCCTACGTAAGTGGTCGGTCTTTCCTTTGCCGTTCCCGGCAGGGCCTTTAGGTGAAGTCAGTTCATCACCACACACGTGTGATATTCTTAGGTCAGAATTCTTTGATCCAAAGAATAGAATGTAACTGTAATTAACATTATTTAGCACACCCCTGAAGTCATCCAAGTACATGAAAGTTATGAGTCTGGACTCGGCGAATGGTAAGCGTCTGAATTGTTCTGAAATATTTGAATGTGCTGCAAGTACTGCGTAGCCAGAGAGCCTTTCTGTGTGGTAAATTGGAGTACATATACATGCTACGGCATTTATGCTCTGGCTTTCTTCTCTAATGGTGTATGTACTTAGATGTATATCTTCTTGTGAATTATTTGTATATTTTAACAACAGTCAAGTGTAATGGCAATGTACTCCAGGTAAGTGATGCTGTTGTCCAGTTTAAGGATGGTTTGCCTGCAAGAACCCTGGAGTTTATTTTCTTTGGGTGGGCCTTTCTGATAGCAGACGAACAAAAGAAAGTATTTTAAACATAGGAGAAATCCTGGAAAATTCTGCTCTTAAGTGCTTTTGAAATGGTCAAACTATTGCCTAGGCATGTTGTCTTTGGACTTCTGAGGCTCATTTCCATCCCTGCTAAAAGAGGACTGCAGGCTACCTTGCAAGAGAGCTGTCAGGATCAGCCAGTGAATATTTATGAAGAAATATTGTGGTGAAAAAAATAATATATGCTACATATATTATTAATAATTATGTGAGTCCTGAAAAATGCCGTACTCTATCACAAAGCTGGTATTGTCCAGTGACTACACTCTTGGCACTGCATGCTACAGTAAACTGTATACTGAAAACTCATACTGATGGAAAGGTATACAGGATTCCATTGGTAAGTGATTTATAGTGACTTCCTATTATAAACAAGAGGGAACAAATAGCCTGTCTTGCTGGTTTCTTTGGGCAAATGGTGAGAGCAGAATAAGACATTCCTGGCCAAGCAAAAGTTGATTCTCTGGATGCTTGCAACTGGGAGCCGAATGAAGCACCGAAAAATGAGGTATAAATGACAATCCCTAATTATAAATGATTGAGTTTCCATTTTCATAGTGCTTAAAACTGTACAGCTGGAGACCAAACAACCACTGTTTTAAGTGATTTCCAAACTTGTAACAAAAAGATGCTTCTGATGTTTAATAGACTTACTATAGTGTCTCAATATACGCTGAAAGCCTACCAACATCCTTTCACAAGAAGCACATTGTTTTCTGAGAGAGAACAAGCCACCTTCAGCAACAGCCTCTTTTTGGGTTTCAATTAATAAATATGCTATTGAACACAACTGTAGTTAGTTTAGGAAAGTTATTTGTGCTGGCCAGTGGTATGCTGTTGATAAATTTAAGTGTACGCCCTACCAAATCAGTCTTTGGAACAGTGTGGAATATAATGCATCAGCATTGGCTTTCTCTGGAGTCACTTCATCTAAGCTTGACAAGTCTGTAGGGTTGAAATTTGTGTCACAGCTTGCCTTAATCCAACTAGTGAGAGGACCACGCTTTTTCAGGAGAGACCAGAGGTGGCTGCCACCTAAGGCTTTTTAGATTAAAGTTAACCACAGCACTTGGAGGGGGCAGCTATGGTGCATCCTCAGTTATAAAGTGCTGCCTCTCATGTAGTGAGAGAGGACTCATGAGTGATGTGCGAGGTCTGCCCATCAGCACTTGCTCTGGAGTGAGTCCTTAGCTGAGGCTACTCGGTGAGATTCAGTATGCTGCATCATTTTTCCATTCCTTCCGTCACCATTTACAGAGGTGTTACCTGGTCCCAGTGCTGTTACCTCATTGCCTCAGAGAAGAAAGCTGGGAACATGTTGCGTGATGGTCGAGAAACTAAACACTTCCCGTACTGAGAGTGGTGTTCTTTGGTTATATTCATTAAGAGGTCTCACCAAAATTTGCTTTTACAGTTGTAATATACTTTTCAATTGTGGTGCAGATATGTCAAATATCAAAAGCTTTATTTATCAAAAGCTTTAATTAGTAGTCGCGGGTAGAGCAGGTAGATTGTGAAAGATGGAGAAAAAACAAAATGTCAGGCAAGGGTCGCCTTTTTTTTTTTTTTTTCAAACTTTATAGATTTTTGTCATCTACATTCCCTGTCTTGTCAGCAAAGAGCCAGACATAGTCAGACTGCGATTCTTCCAGGCTGAGCTAAGCAGTTAAGGCTGTAGTTACACCACCAGTTTACTCTCCAAAGGAGAGATATGGTACTCCCCTCATCCAGCTCACAGCATATCCACAGGGATGATAATGCTGCCCAAAGAGAGACAGTGGGAGAAGGTGGCCACAGAAGAGGGCTTCATAATCTGGTTCTGCAGCAGCATTCAGGGATGTTGAACTGCAGTGTTAGATAGGTGGGCTGAAACCACTTCTTGGAGGCCATCTCTGTTGTTTGTGAATGGAGTCTGGACAGCTAGCCTGGATAAAGATACAACTTAGACGGCAGGTTCATGGCAAGTGAGGTGAACACTGCCCTTCCTTTTGAGTTGGATCAAGTTAGTTTGACCAGCAGGGTGTCAAGGAGAGCATGGCAAGTGGTCTTTGTCTCCCTTAAGGTGGTTATCCCTATCCAAAAAGAAGGTAGCAATACTTACTTCCTTCGCTAAGGGCTGTTCAGACAGATGTGAGCTCCTTGGATGCTACGGTAGTGCAAAGTGAGGCATACCGTCAGAGGTTTGGTATAGCAGAAAAGCATTTTTGGCACAAAAAACGAGGCCTGTGCTTTGAAATGTTGGATTTTCAGACTTCATTGTACTAACATGCTTTTACAGCAGTTGTTAGCAAGAGCTTTGCAAATTATCAATGATGGTTTTATTGTAACCCAGTTTCGAGTTTCTTTGACATAAATTACTTGTTTTTTCAAACATAAAATCTGAATGGAATAAAAAAAGACATGTAATTCAGGAAAAATCTTCAGCAAACTTAAAGAATGGATAGCTCTTTGCTTCTGGATTGTATTTTTTAGCTTTGCTGCTGCTTTTATATACCATGGGCAAGCTGCTTTCTTTTAGAGCTGGCTAAGCACCAGTAAAAAATATTTGCAAATACTCCTTCAAATAAACGCTGGAATTGGAATGTGTGTCACCATTCACACCTACTTTCCTCAGAAGTTTGTACAAGCAATTTTTTTGTTCATAGGAAATATTTTCCAACAGCAAAAGAAACTGACAGATGCTTGAGAGGTGTATTTATATCCAGGTTTGCTCTGGCAGTGACATGCTCTATTACTTGCCATTTCCATTTCTATACCTAGTGACCTATTCAGTCCTAAATCTCCTCTTTAAAATTGTCTCTAATTAAAAAAAAAAAAACAAAACAAAACCACCAAACCAAAACAGGGCTGAGAAATTATTTGTAGCCAAGTACAGCATGAAGAAGGAGACTTTTGGTGTCATTCAGTACCTCTCTCTGGACCGAATGGTTTCTTTTTCCCTTGGTTCCCTCTCCACTGTATAGGTTGAGCTTCCCCCCCTTGAATCCCATTCAAGCATTGATTTAGGAGAGCTTAAGAGATACTGATTTAAGATGTACTGTTTTGGAACAAAATGTACATCTTGGTCATTTGTGAACATTTATTTATAAAGCTGTTTTGCAAAAGGATGGAGGCCTGCTAAATCAAATAGCTTGACAAACATCTGATCTCTGAAATTACAGCTGCTCTCCCTGCATTTCTTTGGTGAGACTGTGTCTTCAGTGGTCACCTCCAAGTGCTGGGAAGTGTGGCTGGGCTGAGCTGCTCGATGTGGGTTGGCTGTATGAGGCAATGAGCCGCTGGTCGGTGGTGGGCAGTCACTCATAAATGAAGAGCTGTCAAGGGTTGCAATGTGCTTTGGGACCTATGCCACTGGAAGCTCTGTTTAAATAAATCATCCACTTTTAATTAGTAATCTGATGGAAAGCTAGCAATAAGGTTGATTTTTAGTTGGGAATCCAGCCTCATAAGGAAGTGCATTTTTTAATGAGATTTTTACCATGGGGCTTTTGGGGTCGCGTAGCCATTAGTGCTCATGCCATTGCTGTTTCTTCTGTTTAACTGTTTCTCCATGGGCATTGCAGTTACAGACATTGACTTCTTGCTCCTCTATAATTTGTTTCTGCGTCAGGATAGCAAGGCCACTGAATAAAGCTTACACATTTCTGCCTGCTAAGTATGTCTGGCTTCTCTGTGACATGAGGACTTAATGAATGAACAAACATGACTCTTCATGGGAAAGTGTAGCTTATGCCTGTGATCCAGTTTCATCTCTGAAGGCTGTTAATCAGGTGTGGTTGTTACTTGTGTCCTTCTCAGCCTGCCTCTGTGACTGCTGCAGCCTGGGCAAGGGGTGTGTTGAAAACCACACACCTCACGTGTGCATGGGTGAAAGTCCTATTTTTAGTGCACACAAGAAGGCATTCACTGAAGGGCAATGAAGCTGATTTTTTATTTTTGGGTTTTGTAATTCCTTATGTCCTTGGGATTTACATATTGCAAAACTGCCTTCATCACCCTGTAAAATGTAGGTGAACTTCCAAGACCAGCTTTATTCTCACTATTGCAAAGATAACCTTTTCCTAGATATGGGCTGGTGTGGGATGCGATGGGCAGGGTTCAGCACCACTTCTGCCAGTGTGGTTCTGGTGAGACTCAGTGAGGTCCTGCCTCACCAAAGCCTTTTTCTGTAAGGTCATGCCTCAGGAACATTTTTTTTTGACATGTGCCCTGCTCCAAGTTGAGTGTAGATTTCTCCAGGCAGATGTGTGTGTGAAGCAGAGCCTTTAGATGTGTCCAAACAAAGATTTTATGTGGAAATCTGGTATCAGTTTTGGAATTAACCTTGGGTTATTTTTCCATGTGCCTATTCCATGAACTTGCCTGGTTTAAAAACTAATAAAATAAAATAGACTCTTTTTTTTTCTGTTTTCTCTTTTCAGAAGCTCTGGAGAATGGACCAAATAAGTGTGAAAGGTGAGTTAGAAACTTCACAGTTCCCCAAAATTATTGCTATTATGGTTTTCTTGATGGCACATAGCTATGTAAGCTGTACATGTAAATATTTGTTATTGCTTGAATCTAGCGCAGCTAACAGAAAAGGAACCAGCAAAGATGAAACATACTGGAAGGAGATCAACGCAGCTATGGCCCTAACGAACCTGGCCCAGGGGAAGGACAAACTGCAGGGAACTACCAGCTGCATCATTCAGAAATCATCACATATATCAGAAGTAAAGACTGTTAAAGTGCCATTAGTTCAGCAGTTTTAAGAGATGGGTTCTTTTTCTTTTATCTGTCAAATGGACATCTTCCTCACAGGATTGGTTTTCAGCAAAATCAGATTCACAGATATGAGGCAAATGTGGAAAATAGGCCCCTTTTACCATATGGTTAGTTTAAAAAAATAATGTTCCTTCTGACTCAGACATTTTCTTTGTATGAAGTGAAATGTTCAATTGCTTCTATGAAAGGCATGTAAATTATAAAAAAACCCCCTGTTTTTATCAAAACATTAACTTATTTTATGTTAATCAAAGTGCGCATAAGATGTCTGCATTGCTATTACAGTAAGTGCCTTGCTTTCAAAAAATAAGCTATAACGTGGGCATAGTACAACAGTATTATGCCTCAAAATGACAATGCCATAATGCTTAAACTTTGTATATTATTCCAAGTGGGCTTAAGCAGCCTAGGGCTAAACACATTACTCCTGGGGGCCCTGGAGAATTGTGCTTATTTGACTTGTACAAATTGATGAGTCTTAATTAAATTGTTACATCATTTTCTCTCTCTTTTTTTAATCAACAGTGTTATAAAATTGTACAGTATGTTTTTTCAAAGTGACAATGAGGTTGTTATGCATGTTTCTTTCCTGTATATGCAGTATATTAAAATACCAAAATCATTCCTTTGAAAAGTGCAATACTCTAGAACACACAAATTTAGGAAATAAGTTAATTGTTCAGGTTATTTTGAACTTTTACATATGCTCCCAGCTGTGTCGCTCACTAAAGATTTCTAGTTGAGAAGGTTCTAGCCAGACTAGCTGTAAATTCAAGTTGAATTTCTGTAATTTTAAAGCTTTGCTAGTGACTTACTGAAGTTTTGATAGAAGTAAAATTGATTTCTTCTTGTACAAATCTAAATCTATAGCACCATTTATTATTTGCAATGGAGCTCAAAAAAGTTTCCGTGGTAGAAATTACCTTAACGTGGTTTAAACATTTTAATTTTGTCTGTACTACATGAATGAGGACATTTGATTGACAGTCCACATTTCATTGAGAAAAAGCTCTAATATAAGCTGTCAAAGCTCAAACTAGAAACACAAATGGGAAATGAAATATCGAAAAATCTTAGCATTTAAGGTGGGAGGGTTTTAAGTAGATACTAAACCATGTATTAAATGTCATGTCTGTAAACTTGACTGCTATTGAGCATAATAACTAGCATAAAACCAGGTTTATTTTTAAGTTTTATTGGGAGGTGTACAAGTTATTCTTAAGTCATATAACAATAGTCTAATGAGGTTTACAGTGCTTGAATAACCAGGGGCAAAGCCAAAAATGATTTATATTGAATCAGTTACAGAAAACTGGAAAAGAGCTGATTGTTGCTAGGATTTGGATTTTTTTCCTGTGGGTATCCTGTCAGGTTTTTTTCCTACTTATCCGTTTTCCTCGTTTTACTTTTTGGTGAGCCATCAGTGACCAAGACAAGTCTTTAATCCTACTTCCGCTGAGTTTAATGGCAGAACTCCCACCTCAGTGAAAGCAGGACTGTGCTAATGATGAAACTAACTTTCAAGTAGAGGCTGTTCCAGTTGCACTAAAAGAGTCAAGATACATTGCAAATATCAGCCTTGGTGTGACTTCTTAGGAAACTTCTTGATGTAACATAACATGTTGTTGGGTTTATTTAGTGTACGATGAAAATGATTTGATATGAAAATATTTTGTACATATATATTTTTACTTTGTTTTCTAAATTGCTGATTTGCATTGACTTAAAGTGCCAAGCAAGAAATGTATGTCATGACTGTATGAACAGTTGAAGTATATGTTTTACTGACTTGCATCATTATGTGTCTAAGATTCCATGACATTAGTTTTTTGATACTTTACTGGATTTTGACATAATAATGTGAGTTTATAACTAATAGCAGAGAGTTAATACTTCACTTTTGTTCATACTATTATAAGTTATTCTGGTATTAAATATTTTGTGACAATAAATTGATGGTTTTGACAAAATTTTCTGTTAGAAATATTCACAGTGTTTTTTCTGTATAAATAACAACAAAATTTGTTATGTAAAAAAGGTACTTTGGGGACTTCTCTGGAGTATAACTGGAGAAGACAAGCCATTGTATAAACAACTTGTTCATGGTTCTTTTTTTAAATGATCAAAGCACAAAGAATAAGCTGTAAAACACATCAAGTGGGTTTTAAATTTAAGAAATACTTGGCATAATTTCTTGTTACCATTTCCTTTAATTTATTTTTTTTTGTACTGCTGCTTTAGAGTTTTCTGAAAACACAAATTCTAATGAATTCTGTGTGTCTTTTTTTTTAAATAACAAAAATCATGATCAGTGCTGAGCCAACAGCTAATGAAGACTCAATAATTATTTATGATATTGGAAAAACAAACATTATTACTATTGCTCTTCTTTGTTTCAACATATGTAACCATTTTAGTAAAATAAATAACTGCAAACAACATCTTGCCTGTTTGAATTAAATATTCATTTATCTGCCCTTAGTCATTTGCATTTCTGGTTTCCTGTTATAGTCTCTATACTGGGATATAAACATGTGATAGGCAAAGACAAAACAGGAATGCTAGTCTTTTGATTAATGCACCTTTTGGTGCACAGTTGTGTGAAGTAATTTAGCATATCCCTGGTGAAAATGACCCTTGAGCAAGTTTAGGCTAATGACTGATGATGACAATATGGCATGATGCTTGTAAGTCCTCCAGATCGGAGGGTGCAGAGGGAAGCCATTGCTAATCACTGTCCTGAGTCACTGGAGAAGGTTCATGAGCTTGGGAAGACTTCAGTCATTGAGGTTTTTTTATGAGTACAGGCTACATTTATCCACAGTACCATGTAGGGATAAACTCTGGCTGTGGAGCCTTGGTGGAAAAGGAGATGCAGTCAGCCCATCTAGAAGTTCAGTGCTTGTAGTAATGGGAACCCAGTGCAACTGGTCTCCTAACTTTTGTGCTTCAGCTCCAGTTGTGTGGGAGGGGTGATTACTAAAGTTTTGATGGGCATTTGTCACTTTCAGGTTTTATGTCTTGCTTATCTGTGATGTAAGATAACTGTAACATCTGCGGCCATCCAACATGTCGATGGAGATTTGGATAGTCAGTTGATATGTGAGTTCCTGAGGGATTATGCACAGGCTGACTTTTGCTGTTGGGAATGTGTAGAAACACCCGCATCCTAATGATACTGAGCTTCTTGGCATCTAATTTGTACCCGAGTGTTATGTGAAGAAACCAACTCATTCTGCTCCTGCCTACTCTGTCACATCATTTGCAAGAGCTGAGCACTCCCAACCTCTTATAAACTGTTGAGAGTAAGGGGAGCTCCAATTTTGACAGGTTGCTCAGTAGTTAGGGTATACATTGGGATCGGGACTACACCCTCCTTTTCCAGCATCATACAACAGCTACAACCACTGAGCTGCAGTTCTCTTTGTGGCCTCATGTTCTCAGTTGGTGGCCTAATGTATAAATATGTGTGCCAGGTGAGCCAGTTCCACCAGGGAGAGTGAGAGCAAGTCTCTGCACAACACATAGTCCATTTTGAGGACATTTGATAACTTGGTGGCTTAAGTTTTAACTTGGAGTTTGGCAAAGGATGCCCACGTGCGAGTGCATGAAGTAACTACTGCACGGTGGGTTAGAAGGAGAAGATGGGGAAGGGAGGTTGATAGCACCTCTGTACTGTGCAAGGAAGAATGGATTTAGCTTAGGCTAGGGGAAAGGCTCTGTGGGCTTAAACCTGTTTCTTCATTATCGCTTTACTCAGCTAGTTTTTCATTATGTGTCCTGTATGAATGATGTTTTTATCCACCTAAACTGTCCATCAGCAGAGATGCACAACACCAAATGTGAGATGCTGTTACAGGAAGAAGTCTTGATTATAAAAACAAGTGCATCTCTGATAATCATGAGCTTCTGGAACTCACTGTGCTCTTAATGCCCAGAAAGTCCTCCTTTGTAACCCCTGTGACATCCCCAGCAGTGGGACAGGATGTGGGAGTCATCCTGCATCAGTCAAAAGGGGAACTGCACCTGGAAAAGGAATTTGTGGCTGCCCTGGGGATGCTCTGGAGTACCAGGGAACTGCCTTGTCTCCCTGTTTCGCCTCAGTGAGTGAATACTGGCACGAGGAATCACTCAGGGCCAGTCAGGGCTATCGGGTAGCCTGCTGGTGGGGCACACCACACCCTGCCTACCAAGGCACTGCCATGCAGCAGGGCTGCAGGCACCCAGCTCAGACTGTCCTTCAGGAATCCTTCCAGAGTTTTTCAGGCTCAGTGATGCCTCTGTTTCTCTTGTCTTGAGGAAACCTTGGGCCATATTCCCCTGCATGGCTTCAAAGGACTGGAGGAGACAGGTGTATCTGCTGGTAAGTCCCCTGTGTGGGGTGGAAGATGAGAGTAAGCGTGAGTACTCATCTAACCTCCCGAAGCTGCAACAAAGCTCCTATAAGCTGAGCTCCACCAGGGCTATTCAAGTCTTATTCCCAATTTCTGTATTCAAAAGAGCACTGGGGACCTCAGAGCAGCCCTGGCAGAGCCCGGATCCTGGTACTGCCAGGAGAGAAAAGCAGTTACAACAGCAAAGCCTGTCACTGCTCCTTGGGCTGGGTAATGCCTCAGATGCCCACCTGCTATGTGGCAAAGGGAAGATACAGCTGTTTTCTATCATGGCTGACCTTCTCGCACATACCAATGTTTTTTGCTGTGAAATCTCACATTATGCTATGAAGCCTTCAACTCAAGTTGTGCTTCCACTCAGTCCTTGGTGTGACTACACTTTCTTAAACCCTGGAGCCTGGACTCACACAGACTGAGGACATCAGAACCTCCAGTGCTCCACAAGCGGCTCTAAAGTCCAGTGGGCACCAACTCAGTGGGCACAGTGACCACTTCAAGCATGACAGATCCCTGTTTTATTCCTGTGTTATTATGAACAATCTGTGACAGTCTTGGAGAATCAGAAAGAACCTCAAAGGGATCCAGGCTCCAAA